CTCTGTCTCTGTCTCTGTCTCTGTCTCTGTCTCTGTACGCAAATGCGCTTTGTTTCAAATGACCCTGCGCACCAGTTATGTGCAGCCCTGCTTATAGGCCAATTCAAGGTTATCAATTAGCTGGTGCTGATGTGATGCTGTTTGTTTGTCTTGTTTCCGAAGTAACAGCAATTGTAGAAGCTGAAGTTGTACTCACTTCCCCCAGGGTAGATTCTGCTGTGCTGGGTGGTGAAGAAGGAGAGACTGTAGAAGCTTTTACAATGTCTGCTAGTGTAGGGGTAGTGTTGCTGTTTGATGTGCTTGGTGTTGTTGTTGAAGAGGCTGATAAAGTTTAGTTATCTGCTCGTGTAAAATTGTCTCTGCTTGTTGGGATGGTTTCTGTAGTAGATACTATCGAGGCAGAGGTTGTGCTGACATCCAATAGTGCCAATGTTGTATCTGATGCTGTTGTTTTGGATGGGAAGGTTGAAGTGTTGGTGTAATTTTCCAGTGTATGTCTGGTACTGCTTCTTGTTGTGCTCTGTCTTCTTGGTGGCGAAGGGTTAAAGCCTGTATTCAAGACGAAAATGTGCATTATAAACTTCATCTCAATCCCAAACTGGCATCACTGTGTATCATTCCTTTTAAGGAACTACTCTTCCTTGTCTCTTCTACATTTACTTTGTCTTAATTTATGCATTTTAAAATGTAAATTAAAAAAGTGTGTGTTTGTTCAACATTCATTCAGGTTTTGATGAGAAAATTCTGCAGGTAAAGTCAAGATTTTTTTGGCTTTGTTTTAAATTGCAGGGACTAAAGTCAGGATGGTGTTCATCAGCACTTGAACACTTTGAAACCCTTCTCACATGAAGTTGTTGTCAAGAACCTTAGCGTTTCCATTTTGACATAATTTCAGTTAAACTGTTTCAAGTTTTGTTTCAAATGTCTCATTGGAGGCAATTGTTTTTATGGGAGTACCAACAAAATACTTAAATATGAAGCACTGTGTGTTCATTTTAATTTCTTGAATTTACAAAGTGACTACTGCATAAACCATTACCCTGATATAAAGTAACATGTACTGCGATATAAGATTTCAGCCATGTTTTCCATCACAAGTAGGCAGGGTCAATGACCTATTATTTATTTTTATTTTAGGTTGAACTGCACTTATGAGACACATTTGAATAATCTACAATTATTATTTGGAAAAAATACAATCAGGTGAGTCATGTACATTTAGATTATTAATTAGATTATTTATTTGGCTCGTTACAATCAGGTTAAACAACAAAAAACTAGGTCATGATTAAAACAATTGTTGTAACTGTGTATTCTAAATCTTCTATCAATAAGAAACTGAAAAAAAGGAAATTAAGATAATTATACCACGATATTACTTTGGTAAACTGTTCAATATTAAATGATGTTTTACTCACCATTACAGAGCGGTAGCAAGCTCGACAGGACAAAGCAGCAAAATGAAAACCGACCCATGACTCTGTCGCTGTTGAGTGTAACGGCTTATTTATAGGTACACTCGTGATGACAATAATCCTATTGTCTTCACAGAAAATACATCTGCCTTTGTCTTCAGAATTATATCATGTTACAGAAGTTGTGTAAACGTTTTTCTTACTGTAACTAATTATCAGACACAGACTGTAGAAATGTCAAGAATGCAGTTGTAGCTACACTTGAGACTGAAATGTCTAGACTAATGGCTACACCAATGTAACCGCAGTACTTAATCATTTGTCATTCAAATACACTTTATGAACAGGTACAAGTTACATAGTTTCTTTCCAACAATATTGGATATTGATACATAATTGTATTGTCATGCATAACAAATATGTTACCCTAATGACAACGGACAACATCTGATACATCTCACAAGGAGTACAAGGATTTCTTGAAAAAATTAAAGATGTGAGATATTTCATGAAAGTTTGTTAGTTCTTAAAAAATGGACTTGAAAGTTCATCAGTGTTGAGCTTTTTTGTGAATGCCACAGTGATGTTACAACTTGTCGTCAACATTTCCACAGAGTATTTTTGATGTCTTATCCCGACGTCCACCAATCTTTCACATTCTCCAGCTCTCTCCAAACTCTTTAACGTTCTTGGCCCTGGTACCATCTGGCTTCATCATGTCATTGTTTTTTTTACCGTCAAAGTTCCCACACAGACCCCCAACTTTCCTTTTATATATGCGGGGTAGAATGATCTCTGCAGAAACAACATCAACAACAGAGCATTACCGTATTACGTCTTTAACTCTCTTCCAGAAAAAAATTACTCATTAATTGACAATGTATGAAATTACATTGTGATTTAAGGATTTGTTGATGAATTACCTGCTCTGCCATGGTCGTCAAAATCCACGGAGAGGCCAAAGTCGGTCTTCAGGGAGATGCGAGAACAAAGTTCCCTGATTTTTAGACCAGCAGTCGGTGAGGCGGGAATTTTTGTTCTCCTTCCATCCACCTGGAGGGGGACAGAGAGGGGTAATTCCCAATGTAACTTATATTAAGTAGACTTGTCTGAGAAAATATTAAGTTTTAGCCATTTGTGTCAGTGTTACTGTAGTGATGGTTGTTGAGACTGAGCAATCTCGACAGCTATTGGATACATTGGCAACAATATTTGGTACAAACATTCATAGTCCCCACAAGATGGTTCTTTTCAACCTTAACATACATGTCTCTGTCAGGTTAATTTATAGTAATCACTTTTCAAGTGGCCCCTGCCATTGCAGCACAATCTAAATCCGTTTCTTCAGAACTCTTTACAAAAAACAACATTATCAGACTCATTTGTACTGAGTTTAGTGCCACTGACTACAGCACTGTTTATGAGCGCCACACTTTGTAAAAAAAATGTCCATCCTCCATTGCTAATGTCCTTACAGCAGGGCCAAGAGGGAAATCTCACATTACAAAGAAAGATACAGCATGCATCAGTTGCATTTATGCTGTTGTAACAAGAAACACTGGTTATTCCACTCAGCGCTTTCACAGATGTCTTTGGGCTTGCAAGAATATGATGATCTTATCCTAATACTATACCTGCTATGAAGGAGCCAAAGTTCAATGACATGGAAAGATTAATATTGTTAGAAATGTATTTGATACTTACAACCAGCCTCAGGTTTTTCTTTAATACCACAGTATGATTATACACTCTGATCTTAAGCTCTTGTAAGCTGTAGTTCTCCTTGTGCTCTTCACTTGAGCGATCATGTGTGTGGTACTTGTTCTTGTACTTGTTCTTGTTCTTGTTCTTGTTCTTGTTCTTGTTCTTGTTCTTGTTCTTGTTCTTGTTATAGTTCTTGTTCTTGTGCTCTTCACTTGAGCTGTGGTTCTCCTTGTGCTCTTCACTTGAGCTGTGGTTCTTGTTCTTGTTCTTGTTCTTGTTCTTGTGCTCTTCACTTGAGCTGTGGTTCTCCTTGTGCTCTTCACTTGAGCTGTGGTTCTTGTTCTTGTTCTTGTTCTTGTTCTTGTTCTTGTGCTGTTTACGTGAGTGAGCATGTTTGCTATTATCATCATCATGGTCATCTTCATCATCATCACCATCATACATAACTCTGCGACTGTGGTCTTCTTCACTGCTGCTGTCGTCATGTTGATGACTATCATCCTCATCCTTTACAGTGTTGATACCCTCGATGTAGACATGTGGAAGGTTATGTGGCAAGTAGTTGGTCCGGACCAGCACATACGAGTGGTCACCCTTAAACTTGTGTTTCATTTTATCAAATGATCTGTATTCAGGGCCTTCCCTGATGGTGCACTCACTGAAGCCTGTGAAGAAATTCATAAATGATTTCACAAGATGTAACATGGTTAAGATATATCACAATTAAAAATAGTTAAATGGTGACACTTGCAGTACCTGTAGACTGGCAGTAATAATTGCCCTCATCATTTTGAAGGCAAACAGCTTTTCCATCGCACTCTTCTTTGTCATCGCAGTCAATCCGACCGACGCCATGGTCTTTCTCACATTCACATTTCTGACTGCAGTGATTGGTGTACCACACATCAGAGAACTGACAAAACAAAAGTAGCCGTAAGTATTTTATACTGTAAAAAACATGTGACTTTGATGAAGAGCTATTCTGTCACTCACATCATATTTGGTGCCATTCCTTTCCACACAACCACATTGTTCGATAGGCACACAAACCCTCTTTTTCTGAACAAAGCCTTCATCACATACACATCCCTGCACACAACCCTCATTTTCAGTGCAACGTGGTAGGCCATTCAGGTGTGTGCAGGTTGGACTGCAGGCAGGGACACACGTGGTGTAGTGACTGTTCTCTGGACAAGAGGGTGCTAAAGAGAAAGAGTGTATATTATATATTATATATATAACAACAAAAGGTCAATACAAAGGTCTATAGTACAATCAGGGCTGAGTGGTAAGTCAAAGCCACATATCACATTTCACAAGCATTTACAAGAGAAGAGAAAAAGAGATCTCCGTCCTCCGTGTTTTATTCTTATATGATTTATATAGAGTCATTATTCATTGGTTTTAAAGCTCAATAAATAACAAAGAAGACCTTTGACCGGCACTTTTCAAATTTTGTCCGGAAGATTTAAACTTCATCTGAAACTCTGCCGCACGGTCCCCTCGTTCCTTGGAAGAGGCGGAGAGGTTGGTTTTTGTCATCTGCTGGTGGACTAACCGGAGAGAATTACAGCGAGGGAGGGATTGCAATGAATAACAGCAGCAGGAGCAAACGCTTGCCTCGGGGAGGGAGAAAAAGAGCCTCAGCGGAGAATAAACAAGGGCAACCATAGCCACCATGCAAGGGAAGTCTTCTTTGCTGCTTTTGTGGCAGACTACAGCGCCACTTACAGGCCTGGCATATGTACTACAGCGTCTCCAGCGCTTTCGAGCGGCAATGGCCGGCCGTGGCCCAACCCCACATCCCCCTGATAGGTGGAGAATTGACCACTAAGCGGAGCACCACTTTTGTGATGTAGAAACAAATTCAAATCTGGATCAGTCTGTATCAGATCCATTGCAGCCTCATTTTTACAGATTTGGGAATGGAGGAAAAGAGAGAGGGTTGTGTTTTCTGACATTTGGTGAGTTCCCTGGAACACCGGGGACACATAATCATGTATAATAGACGTACAAAAGTGCATTTTGCATGATAGGTGCCCTTTAAATAATGTTTTTTCACACTAGAAAAGGTGACATTTCATCACAAATATGAACATGCCCAAAGCTTCAGGTTTCAATGGTGCCTAACCTGTGAGGTGTAAAGTATATATTATACCCAATCCATGTATATAAGGAAATACTTTGAACTTACTTGGTACAGGTGTAACTGGTGGTTGAGGTCTTGCCGTTGTTGTTGATGGTGGTGTAGCTGTAGTTGTAGGCTGCGGACTGCCTGTTGTTGAATGTGGTTTATTAGTTGTTGTAGGTTGTTGTAGGTTGTGGTATTGCTGAAGTTGGTGGTTGTGGTGTAGCTGTTGTTGTGGTTTAACTGTAGTTTGTGATGGCTTTGGTGTAGCTGTGGTTTCTGGCTGTGGTAGAGCTTCAGTTGGAGGTTGTGGTCTACCTGTTGTCGAATGTGGTTTATTAGTTGTTGTAGGTTGTTGTAGGTTGTGGTATTGCTGAAGTTGGTGGTTGTGGTGTAGCTGTTGTTGTGGTTTAACTGTAGTTTGTGATGGCTTTGGTGTAGCTGTGGTTTCTGGCTGTGGTAGAGCTTCAGTTGGAGGTTGTGGTCTACCTGTTGTCGAATGTGGTTTATTAGTTGTTGTAGGTTGTTGTAGGTTGTGGTATTGCTGAAGTTCGTGGTTGTAGTGTAGCTGTTGTTGTGGTTTAACTGTAGTTTGTGATGGCTTTGGTGTAGCTGTAGTTGGTGGTTGTGGTTTAACTGTAGTTTGTGATGGTTGTGGTGTAGCTGTTGTTGCAGGAGTTGTTGGTTGAGCTAGGTCTGTAATGATATTTCACAAACAAGTCAGACACATTCCCAGTTACAATGTGTGTGAACAAAATTGAATGTCAGCAAGAGAAAATAGTTACCTCTGCAGTGTCCACGATGAAGTGATACATCATCTATGGCAACATCAGACTGATCATTGGAACCTATTCGCCCCTCAAATATAACCTGAAATAAATTGCACAGGTTCATGCTAAAGTACATTATACCAGCACCAATTACTCATTTATTTTTTCAGGTTGTACATTTTTTGTGTTTTGCTCTGCAAGTTTTTATCATTAGTCAGATGAGGAGAATAACATTTTACCTGGAAAGGTCCAGATGTTGCCAAGTCCACCTGAGCCAGGTGCCAAATATTTCCTTGGTAATTTCTCTTCCACCAAACAGCATCAGCTAATATATCCTGGAGCAGGTAAACATGGAGGCCCATTGTATCTGCTGAGCCGTACATGTGGTACCAGAACTGCAGACACTGAGGACCAGAGTCAGAACACTCGGAGCTAATGAGACGAGCTGTGTCACCATGTGACGCGCTGTTGGCTTCGATGTAAAGATAGTGGCCACCTGGTTAAGGACAAAAGAGTTTGAAAAAAAGAAAAATTCATAGCATACTATAAGTTTAAGGTATATCAAGATGCAACTGAAATGGTTGCTAAATGTTGACAATCCAAATATCCTCAAAACACTAAAATGCAAAACATTTCTTAAATGGTAAATGGACTGTACTTATATAGCGCTTTATCCAGTCTCTTTAAGACCCCGGCCACACGAGGACGAAAACGGCTAAACGCATAGGATTAACGCAAACGCAATCGCAAACAAGCTTCCGTCCACACGCAATAGTTATCCGGATAGTGTCTGCCCACACGAGACCGCTCTGTTTAGCTCCAACCGCTGGAGAAGCTGCAGTACATATGCAGGAGCCTGTACGTGGCGCTGTAACTTCCTCCACAAAAGCAGCAAAGAAGCATGGTTGTCATGGTTGCCCTTCTGTTTATTCTCCGCGGTGGGGGCCGAGGGAACCGGGCAGAGTTTTTCGCCAGTCAACGTGTATTAAAGTTTAAACCTTCCGACAAAATTATAAAAGTGCCGGTCAAAGGTCTTCTTTGTTATTTATTGAGCTTTAAAACAAATGAATAACGACTCTATATAATATAATAATAAAAATACACGGAGCCTCTCTTTTTCCTCCCTCTCTTTGGACAGCGTCAGTGTCTGTCTCATGCAGCAGCTGATCCAGTAATGAGTGACCCGGCCGACAGTAAAAATAAACATATTTATAACTAGTTTAGGTAGTTTGAGAGGTGTCTCCGTCCTGTCAGATTAGACTTCACTCGCGTTTATGTCCATATCGAGAGAAAGATAAATAATCTGAATTCAGTGTGCAGTTTACTTTGACGCGGGGGTGAGCAGCAGAGGTGGGGAGAGGCGGGGCTATTGCGCAATCATTATCAGAAAATGATCGCTGAAGCTGCAGTACATATCCACAAAAGCAGCGAGTAAGATCCCCCCCGGATGTGTAAGTCTGCTGTAGATGTTGCACAAAGAACTGTAGCATGGTCAGTAGCGTCCGGAGCACGATAGCAACTCTGCGATCCGCCATTGTTGTTGTTGTTGGTGGCGAAACACATCAGCAATGGCGCGGGGTACGCGGAGGTGAGCAGCAGAGGTGGGGAGAGGCGGGGCTATTGCGCAATCATTATCAGAAAATGATCGTATAGGGCGCACACATGGAGCTGTTTGACCCCCCAGAGCGTTACGTATGCCGTTCTATCCACTTTGGGACCCGTTATCGTTTCCTCAGTCGTTTAGTGCCGTATGCGGTCGTCCTCGTGTGGCCAAATGGTCTATATGACACTAAACAGTAACGCAAACGGCCGTTTTTGTCCTGGTGTGGCTGCAGCCTAAGACCCCTCAAAGCGCTTTACATACTACATGTCGTTCACCCATTCACACCCATTCATACAGAGCAGTGTATATTACTCTAGGAACTAACACGCATACACATGCACACACCGTTGGCCATGCCATCGGGAGCAACTCAGGCCAGGATTAAGTATCTTGCCCAAGGATACATCGACATGTTGACTGCATGGGCTGGGATCGAACCCACAACCTTCTGGTGGAAAGTCGACCGCACTCCCTCACAGCCACAGTCACCCTTAATTAATTGCCCATCCTCAGGATGTTAACGGAAAGATATCTTATCTTTATGTAAAACAGTACACCAGGAACTCATAGCCTGACAGTCTACAATTATGGTTGAACAGGGAATAACTATTTCAACAACCAAAATGCTTTTCACCTTGTGACTGTGTGGCTGAAACTGGGGTATAAGGGTGTGCAGACAGTACAACACAAAAGTTACATGGCTTGTGTGAGAAAGCTAATTACCTCCCGTAGTGTGATCTGAAGAAGGCCCAGTCATTATAGTTGGGGTAGAGCTACTATGCCTTGTCCAATCGATAACATCAGCAAGTTGGGTCCACTGACATAGATCTTGTTCATAGTTGCAGTTGAGTTGGCATACTACACACACAAGTCAAAGATATCTTTAATTAACTGGAAATCACAAAAAGATTATAAAAGTTCAGACAGCCGGGGTTACACGTGCTGCTGTGGAATTAGAACTTTACCTGGGTGTCTGTTATCTGGAGCTTGAGTAACGTCCTTATTAAAGTCGGTTGTTGCTGCCACTACGGGAGAACCATCAGGTTTGGAAGGACTTGTTGACTCAACATCACTCAGATCTGCAACAGTTTATTTAAAACATTATCAGATTACACAGCCTTGGGATAAATATCACATTTTTAAGGTTTAGTGATTTTCATTCACAGTGCATGTTTTTTTACCAGAGCATCGTCCACGATAAAGCTTTACATCATCTATTGCCAAATCTGACTTTTCATTGGAGCCTCTACGTCCCTCAATGATAATCTAAGTTATGGAAAAAGGATTAGTTATCATTTTGCAGTCTCTTATTGTTACAATTTACTTCTACAACTTCGTTGGCTGACAATATTTCAATAATTTGAGTGCCTGGTGGAAGATGTCGCACCTGGAAAGCTCGAGTTGTTCTGATGTCCACCTGAGCCATTTGCCACATATATCCCTGGTCATTAGTCTTCCACAAAACAACTTTTGTTTGTCTGTCCTGGAGCAGGTAAACATGGAGGCCCATTGTATCTGCTGAGCCGTGCATGTGGTACCAGAACTGCAGACACTGAGGACCAGAGTCAGAACACTCAGAGCTGATGAGACGAGCCGTGTCTCCATGCGTCACGCTGCTGGCCTCGATGTAAAGATAACGACCATCTATGAATGAGAAGCGAAGTGATCAACATTTTCACATACACTTTCTACGGTAAGATAGATATTTTCAATACCTCTGTGTCATACCTGTGATCATTTATAATATTACATAGAAAAAGGGTGTATTACCACCAATGTGGTCCGCAGAGGGCCCAGTCATCAGAGTGGGGGTGGAACCTCTTTGCCATGTCCAGTCAAAAGCATCTCTGGTCATCTGACTCCAGCTACAAAGACTGCTATCGAAGCTACAGTCCAAATTGCAGACTATAAAGGAAACATTTGTAAAATATTAACAGGAACTAAGTATTGAGGACCTTGGCAACTTCCTAAACATTTAGAAAATCTTTAACTGGGAGTACAATCACAAGACATAAATGTTCAATTCTAACCACACATCAGCTTTCTCACGTAGAAACAATTGGCCCATAAAAAAGGCTTCCTGTGCACTTACCTGGGTGTGAGGGGAGGACTTCCACATCTGAGGAGGGAAACACAGTTCCACTAACCAGTCCAGGGACACTACCTAAAGGAGGACATTATTGGTTATGTTTAAACCCTGAGAAATGGTCATGATTTGAGATAATATAATTTATTTGTAGCATTAGAAATATCCTTGTATCCTCAAGTCATATATATTTAGTCAAATATGAAATGCTTTATTTAGTTAAATGAATGTCACCTAAACATGAGCCAAAGTTTATGGAAATGTCATCGATGGCCACATCTGATTGAGCATCGGAGCCTCGAATTCCCTCAAATAAAATCTAAAAGATGTCAAAGGGAAAAATAAATGTTTTAATATACAACTACAATAATATAATCTTTTAGGCCATTATATTGTCTGTAAGGTGTCACTTACTTGGAATGGACCAGTGACTCTGATATAAACATGTCCTAGATGCCATTCTGGACCTTGGTTGTTCATTATGGACCAGAGTTTAGTAGCTTTATTGTCTTTGAGCAGGTAGATATTGAGGGCCATGGCGTTGGCTGAACCATACATATGGTACCAGAAGTTCAGCCAGAGTGGTCCATCATAATTGCACATTGAGCTCCGAAGACGAGCTGAATCTCCATGGGTTACACTACTTCCTTCAATATACATGTAGAAACCAGCTGCAGAAAAGTTGAAATTAGCATTATAAACATGCACAATTAAAATCAATGCAGCAACTTTACAGATGTGATATCGTCGCCTGACATTACGTTTTACCTCCAGTGGTGTGGTCTTGGTTCGGGCCAGTTAAGCTTGATTTTGTGGGTCCTGAATGTCTTGTCCAATCAAAACTGTCCTGCATGAGCTGCTCCCACCCACACAGATTATTTTCAAAGTCACAGTTTATGGGACAGACTGTGAAAAATCATATAAACAAGATTAAAATGACAAGTATTACGAGTTTATTATGCATAGGAACATAACATTATGAAAAGTACAATTGTAGATAAAAATACATTTTCCAAGAAAACATGATTTCATCCAGTCCGTAGATAAATATTATCATTATTAATCAAAGTTATTCTAATAAATGTATGCATTTAAGTACTGTATCGGTTTTTAAGGCAAGCAAAGTAAATATAAGCTGCAACGGGGGCTAAATACCAAAACTCTAGATAGGCTTCGCCCTCCAGCACCAGTGGACCGCTCTCTAAAACAGTCACATCCTCTGCAGATGAAAAGGACCGTAAGAAAGTGTAATCAGTAGCTGCTTTTATCCACATAATAAAAAGTGATCAAACTCCATTTTTTATTAGTTTACAAGTTTTATTAGTACCTTCTGAAGTACAAATCCAATGACAATAGCCTCTCCATTCCTTGTAAACCACTCAAGTCAAATGGTGACATTTATTTTTAACCGCGCAGGTTAGGAATAAGCTTTTATGTCAGATCATAAGTTTTATTACTTAAAAAAAATAGCAAACCATTCCCTCGTCTCTGTTATTGTAATAAAAAAAAGAAGTACATCTGTTGTGGTGCAATAGTCATTAAATGCAGAATTGCAGTTTAGTGTGTTTTGTGCTAATTTTGAACCTTAAGTGCAGGCCCTCATCTTTCACTGCCCCTGGGAGAGCCTGCTTCAGATCATTTAGTGATACGCAGCGAGGTACAGACACACAGTCACAGCGCGCCTGTAGATTATAACAGAACTGTGGACTGCTGTTCCAAATCCTCTTCAAAAAGGGTGGGAACAAAATGAAAGGTAACTATACAGTCACAGTCTCTCACTGTCAAAGTGAACTCTTAATAAACTTTACTGTAACCTCCCTAAAAGAAACACATTTTGCTTTCAAATTTGCAGTTCATTTTCCTTTCAGCTTTTGTCTGTACCTGTTCTTAGTTGGGTAGAGTCACACATCTGATTGTTATGTCCGTCGTAGGAACACTGTGTACCATACTCTATGAAAGAAGAACAATGAGTCAAGTATTGGTTTAAGTCAGTGTGTGATTTAAAAACAAATTTCATTTAATAAATTGCAACGATATATAAAGTATCCACAAGTCTTAGTAATTGTAAAACGTCATACCTGCATTTTTTCTCCAATCTGGTAAAGTAACTAATGAAAAATCAACTTCAGCCCTGAAATATAAAAACAATTTGTGTATTCAATCCCATTGGTCTTGCTACAAGTTATTCCAATATTGAAATGATTAAATTATAACATTGAGCAAAAATCAAAATGTTATTCACTCAATAAAACCAGTTCAACCCTATTTTTAAACAACATATCAGCTTCATTTTGGCAGTTAAAATGTAATTATCTTGACACCCACCTGCACTGAGTCCATGTCTGAGTTAGAAAGAGTAGAGTCACTGTGACCAACACATCTTTGAAGATGCCTCCAAGCATGGCTGATCTCTTAACGGCAGCCTCCCAGCTGCTCTCCCGTTACTAATACTCTCATATACTCTCATATACTCTCTTATACTCTGTCTCTCTCTCTCTCTCTCTCTCTCTCTCTCTCTCTCTCTCTCTCTCTCTCTCTCTCTCTCTCTCTCTCTCTCTCTCTCTCTCTCTCTCTCTCTCTCTAGTCTTTGAGTTGAAGAAAAATGAAGCACGAGTGCATTGTTTTCTGACAAAAGTGTTGTAAAAGGCTTAAAGAAGTTTCTGCTACACCATGTTTGGTTAAAGATATCAGTGAACTCAATAAAACAGGAGAAAGAAAATGTGATAAGACAGATGTATAGTGTGGGTGTTGCTGTCTGATCCAATATTGTGATGTTCTTGAAGCCCTGGCGGTATGTGTCAACAGATAGGGTGGCACAGAATAAATATTAGAGCTCTTTAAAACTGTCAAACCTAAAATAAGCTCTTTGTTAGGAATTTACTACAAGACGCTACAGAGAATATAAACTATCCTCCTGTGTTTGTGCTTGTTGCAAAGAGACGGCAATACACTAACTATCTAAGGAAAAAAAAGACTTGAAATGTTTGTTGGAAACTGTCAGCTCTCTAAATGCAGAGGTGTTCATCAGTGGCCTTCTACCGCCAGTCAGAAGAGGAGTGGAGAGATTCAGCAGATTGTTTGCACTGAACACCTGGCTTTCAACTACTGACCATTCTGTCAATTTTATTGACAACTTTAACTTTTTCTGGGACCGCAGACATCTTTTTAAGGCAAATGGAGTTTGCCTGAACAAGTCAGGAGTGACATTGTTTATCTCTAACATATTCAACTGCCTGCGTCATCAATCTGTTCCCTTTGCCAAGGACAAGCAACAAGAGGAATCAAAACAAGAGAAAGACACAACACATCGCTCAGAACACCTTGAAAATCTATCACTGCACCCGCCTGAGGAATGTCTTGATTATGGGAGACAAATGGAGGAGTCTCCACCGCCCTTCACCCCCCCTATCACCTCTGAGGATACTCTTCCTTCACATTTTTAATCAATGATTTTATCACTGAGCACAATCTCGATTTTATGTTTTTAACGGAAACTTGGATTGAACAAAATAACAGTGCAGCTGTTCTTATCGAATCAACACCTCCCAACTTTAGTTTTATGAGTCAGGAAAGAATGCATAAGAAAGGAGGTGGAGTTGCTATTTTGTTCAATGATTCCCTTCAATGCAGGAAGACATCTTATGGGAACTTTGCTTCTTTTGAATATGTGGCCCTTCAGCTGAAATGCTCCTCTCGAGCTCTGTTCCTAAATATCTATAGACCACCCAAATACTGTGCAAGCTTTTTTGATGACTTTACTGAACTGCTGTCTATAGTGTGTATTGACTTTGACCGTCTAGTCATTGTTGGTGATTTTAACATCCATGTTGACAACCCCTAGGACAGAGGGGCTAAAGAACTGTTTTGTGTTCTTGATAGCTATGGACTGACTCAGCATGTGACGGAGCCCACGCACAATAAGGGGCACACTCTGGACTTAATTATCTCAAAGGGTCTGAATATCTCTAAGGTTGTGGTGACTGATGTTGCACTCTCTGACCATTCCTGTGTTTTCTTTGAGAGCTCTATTTCTGTTCACAAAAATGTTCACAAAGAGGTAACCACAAAGCGATATTTAACTGAAAATACTAGGGAAATGTTTACTCAGAATTTTTCTTCCACACTTGCCCCTGCTAACATCTCAGTAAATGAGCTAGTAGATCATTTTAATTCAAACATTTAAAATGTTATAGATGCCATTGCTCCAACTAAGGTAAAGGAAGTGATTGGCAAGAAAATATCTCCATGGAGAAAGGCCATGACCGTGAGAACAGAGAAAAAGAGAGTGTCGAAAAGCTGAACGTAGGTGGCGAAAAACAAATCTCCAGGTTCACTTTGAAATCTATAAAGAGAGACTTGGCCTTTATAATTTGGAATTGAAAAACGCACAACAGTCTTTCTTCTCTGACATCATAAACAAAAACAACGCACGTGCCTTGTTCGCTACCGTCGACAGACTAACTAACCCCCCAGTTTCAGTAGCCTCTGAATTTCTATCCACCAGGGCATGCAATGATTTTGCCTCCTTCTTCACTGACAAAATTCAGAAAATCAGACAAGCAGTCAGTGCCTCTGCATCAGGTACAACAAATGTGTTGTCCCTGTGTCCACCTAATATCAATTCAAACACCATGACACAATTCCATCAGATTAATGATAAAAACCTAGAGAACATTATTCAACTTCTGAAATCCTCCTCCTGCTGCCTTGATATTATTCCAACAGGATTTTTCAAAAATGTTTTTCCTTGCATGGCCTCAGATCTACTTCATATAGTAAACAAATCTCTTCATTCAGGTATTTTCCACAGGCCCTGAAAACTGCAGTCATTAAACTGCTCTTAAAAAAGAATAATCTAGATGCTTCAGTAATGAACAATTACAGGCCCATATCAAACCTGCCATTTCTAGGTAAAATCATTGAAAAAGTAGTTTTTCAACAGTTGAGTAACTTCTTGCATTTAAATAACTGTTTTGATGTGTTCCAGTCAGGATTTCGTCCAAACCACAGCACTGAGACTGCTCTTGTAAAGGTATTCAATGACATCCACTTAAACACAGACAGTGCCAGAACTTCAGTGTTAGTATTATTAGATCTCAGTGCTGCGTTTGACACTGTTGACCACAGCATATTACTAGACCGAATAGAAAACTGGGTGGGACTTTCGGAAACAGTTCTAAATTGGTTTGAATCCTACTTAAAGGACAGAAAAAACGTTGTTTCTATACACATCTATACACATCTGAGTTGACAAATATGACATGTGGGGTACCTCAAGGCTCCATCTTGGGGCCTCTTCTCTTTAACATCTACATGCTACCACTGGCTCAGATAATGAAAAACAACAAAATAAGTTACCATAGCGATGCGGATGACACACACATTTACGTAACAATTTCACCAGGAGACTATGCTCCAATTCAAACACTGAGTAAGTGCATTGAACACATCAATGACTGGATGTGTCAGAACTTTCTCCAATTAAACAAAGATAAAACTGAGGTAATGGTTTTATGAGCCAAGGCAGAACGTTTAAAAGTTAGCGCTGAGCTTCAGTCTGCAATGTTCAAAACAACAGATAAAGCCAGAAATCTAGGTGTAGTCATGGACTCTGACCTGAGTTTCAACAGTCACATTAAAACAGTTACTAAATCAGCCTACTATCACCTAAAGAATATATAGGATTAAAAGACTAATGTCACAGCAGGATTTGGAAAAACTTGTCCATGCTTTTATCTTCAGTAGACTGGACTACTGCAATGGTGTCTTCACAGGTCTCACTAAAAAATCTATTAGAAAGCTGCAGCTGATCCAGAACGCTGCTGCTCGAGTCCTCACTGACACTAAGAAAGTAGGTCACATCACTCCTGTTCTGAAGTCTTTACACTGGCTTCCTGTGTGTCAAAGAATATATTTCAAAATACTGCTGCTGGTTTCACACAAAAAAAGTGTTACTTCACAGTTTTACTACACATTTTAATTTTTTTTACTTGCAAAATTATCTTTTAAATTGACAAACATCATATGTGCAATTCGTGGCACAATTCATACGGGATCGAAAGATAATCTTTCTCTCTCCATTGACTTCAATACATAATTTTTCCGAAATAAGGTCCCATGGAGCTCCCCCGGAAAGGGAGGGACTTCGCCTCTCTATAGTGCATCCATGCACTACATTGTATTGTATAAAATGGATATTCCACCATTTGTGTGTTTGCATTAAAAGTTGCCTGACCCCAACTTCTCTGATGCAACTTGTATATTGATGCACAGACAAACAGTACTTTTGCAGTTGTCTCCAGAGGACTCGAACACTGACAGAGTGCCACGGGTGAACGCTCACCTAGTCGATAAACAATCTGAACACCACAAAGGAACAATAGCCACCATTCTATTGCCCACCGAGCAAACACGTCCTTTTAAAATGTCAAATAAAAAAGCTGTTGCAAGGGTGCGGTGTTCTATTGATTCAAAATCGGCTCATCATTTGATCACCATGCCCAATTTATGGACTCTCCTCCATCTTGGACACAAAGTGGTGGAAACCAACGGAAATCTTTAAGTCATCATTGTAGTGTATGAAAAGAAGTATATGAAACTAACGTAACAACACTGAAATGTTCCATTTGTGTATAAGTGTTGAAAGAGCAATGGAGGATCAGAAGCTTGAATAAAACCTCGACTGGCAAATTGTGGATGCTGAAAGGGGCTTCTCTGGATACTGCTATATCTGTCCCGTCTCACGGTCTGAATATCTATATAAAATATATTGCAATGGTATTATTGCTCAAACACGGTCATACATTTATACAGCTGATTGATTTTTTGTGACTGCTTGCAATTATCCTTCTAGCAAAGAACACCGTTTGCCTCTGTTCCAACAACACAGAGGGCAGAATAATGGCAAAGAAAACATTTCATTCTCAGACCGCTAATATTTCACAGTGTGTGGCTACTGCGCTGATCTTAAAGAATTTGACTGTTTTTGACACCAGGGTCCTTTGCATAGAAATGGGCTCAATTTGCGTCGATTGTGTTTATGCTACCTAATTTGAAAACTTGCCACTTGCACAGGAGAAACATGAAGCTATTTGTTAGCCTGTGCAGTTGGGGTACAATACACTCTAATGGGTGTTTTGAGAATTATGGTTTTTTTTGTGTCTTGTTTCTGCAGGTTAAGCTAAATGAACCCCTCTGTTTCTTGTTTACCAAAAACTCACAGGGATAATTTTCATCAACTAGTAACAAAAGTCAGAAATAGCTGTTTAAATAGTGACATAGTAAAACTGCTACTTGGACGGAGACAGAAAGAGAAAAGCAAAGTGCTGTTAGATATGTATGTATGTATGAGTTTCGAGAACGAGTTGCAAATGCTAATAAAAACACGTTAATTTCCATTATGCTAATCGATTCATAAAGCACAGAGCAGAGTCTATTTTAAACGGTCTATG